GAATTTTGCTAAATAAGGCATTTCAAGCCCTAGAAACTAACACTACAACTCTTACAAGAATTCAATTGGTTCTGCAATTTTGACTCAACTTCATTTCTAAATCAATTATCTACATTACCTCTAAAGGTAAAAGCTCTTCGGGATTTCAATTGTTGAAATATAGAACTCAATTTATAATAATTGAATCCATTCACTTTCTTTTAGAAGATATTAAAGTGAAATATATTCAAGTTTTGAATAGAATTCGATGCAGGAATTCGAATTATTTTCATAAATAACGAAAATTATAATTAAATATTAAAAACATTATAGCGTGAATTTTTTTGAAAAAAAAATTTGAGTTTTGAAAAGAGTTAAAAATCAATATTCCAGATACCAGTTTGTTTAATCAAATGACTTAAGGGGACACCTAAGTGGAAAAATGACAAAAAAATCGATTTTTTTAAATTTGATTTTCTAAAAGTAGACTCAATTAGGAATAGAACAAGACTTTTTAAAACCTTTTCTGAAGAGTAGAAAAAATCTGATTACATGATTCTGAATACCATGAGTTTTTAGTATTTTTTCTTTTTTCGTGTCTCCTGTCAAAATTGTTTTTTTCCAATTTTTTTAATTTCGGTACACTTTTCTCCGAATCTACTAAACCGATTTGTAATTTCTTTTTTTTACTTTGTTCAGTAAGGTTCCAAGAATACGAATAAGAAGTTTAACATCATTTTGAGTTGTACAAACGGAGATATGAGTCAATGAATCAGAGAAAATGGGATTTTTATTTTGCTTTGGGTATAAATATTCATAAAAAAGTTTCTATTGAAGATAACGTCGTATTACTTCTTATTCATATACTTGATTATATTTGTAATCGAATAAAAAAGGGCGAACGCAATTGGAATAATAGTTTTCGAGAAAAGTGTACCGAAAGTTGACTCTTTTTGCATTGTTCTTAGGTGACTTAGGTGTCCCCTTAACTTAAAACTTATTGGATTACTCGAATTACTTGAATAACCATTGTTAAGGATTATATTCTGTCTAGTTATATCTAATGGTTTATCAGAAAAAAAAGAGAAATTTTAAAGAGATAAGAGAGAAGGAGAGAGAAAAAAAATATATAGCGACAATTTCATTGTCACTGCCCCCTTCTAATTAGGCTGACGTCCCTTGGCAGCTTTAGTTGGCGTTTGTGAAAATTCTCCCTTTAACTTATTTTTGTAACTCTTTCGAGTTTTACAATCATCATATTCTTTATACCTTACTTTGTAAAATGTCGTTTCGTGTAACTCGGATATCGTATCTTAAAGTTATGCTAATAACATTACATGTGTTAGTGTGTAAAAAGTTTCCATATTATAAATAGGTGCGTTTTTCTTATAAAACGTTGTACAAAATAAAAAGTTTTGGTTGTCGTATATAAGGACGAGTCGGTTCGTGTAATTAACAAGCTTTGAGATGTGGAAAAAAAATTTTATATACCCCCCCGTCAAGGTTTCCGTATGGAGTGTCAGGCATTGGAGTTAGTTTACGTTGAGAAATTTCGGTCTAGCTGGGGTGAAGTGGAGCGGGTTTCTGCAAATTGGGAAACTGTGAGTTGTTTGAGGATTGTTAAATAGGAAAAATTTAAATAAAAAATTTTATTTAACGCTGTTATTTTTCTTTTAGCGTTGGAAGATTGCCATAAAGAAGTTTTGGTCTGAGTGCTGATAGTATCCGTTATTTTTAATGCGATTGTAAGATAAGGGATGTTGCTGTCTGTTAATAAAATAAATTAGATTTTTTTTCAGGTATATTTGGTTTGTTTGATTTTTTATTTTAACCTCTAATGAGAGACAAAATCAATACTGCAATTTTCCTTAATTTTTAAATGTGGTTAGTATAATTTTTATGTTTTTGGTTTTGTGTAATTGGTATTTTTTCCGTGTGGTGACAGCATCTTCCGTTGATGTAAAATTTGTTATGTGTCTTTCTATTGTACCTTCGAATGTGTTATCATTTCTCTGTTTAGCTTAGCATGCATTTTGCTTAGTGTTAATTGTTCTGTCGCCGTGTCATCTTCATTGTGTTTAAATTTCTCATTTGTTTTGACTAAAAATTTTAGAATTTTTTTTTTGAGTGTCGTGTTGTTTATTTAAACTTTGTTTTTATTAAAATTGTTTGTTTTGTGTCTTTTAAAAAAAAAACAAGGATTATTTCAAGGTTGGATCATTTGGTGAGTCCCTTTTTTGTTTATTAGCATTAATTATTTTATATGTGTTTTGTTAAGGTTTTTTTTATTATTTTATTATTAATAGTGAGGGAACGGTGGAGTGTAATGTGTAGGGAGAGCGGAAAGAACGAATTTTAGAACGCTCGTTTTTATGCTACATTTTCATATAAACTGCTGACATCAGTAGTTTTGTTTTTTTATCTTTCAGCATTCTAATTCCCCTCTAGTGTTTTTAAATTAATTGTATATGAATGTTATAAAGCCTCACACTTTTTTTTTAAAAAAATAAGGAAAAAAATGAGAGAAGTAAAATATAAAAAAAATATAAAAATTCGTCGATTTTTTTGTTTGGTTTGGTTTTGGTTATTGGCCTTTTAGTCCCCGAAGGTCAAGTAGCCATGTATTCGTCGATTTTTTGTTTCTAGGTTTTTCGTAAATAGTGAATTTAATTAAAATTTGGATTAAATTTCTTTGAGGAAATTATTATCAAATGTCAATAATAATAAAAAAAACTAAAAAGAGAGAAGAAAAAAAAATGTTCCGTTAAATAATTTTGGAAGTTTTTATTTAAAATTATAAAAAAACTGACGTATTTATTTTATATTTTTTTATATAAAAAAATTTGAATAAATTTGAGTCGGCGACGGGGGACATAACTTATGGATATCGGTGGTTGCAAGGAGGGGAGGTTTCAGGGGCAAAGTGAGGTGGGTTTTTTTTATTGTGTTATATAATGATAGTTTTCTTTTCTTTTAGTTTTTGAATGTGTACTAATTTTGTGTTTTTTTAAGGTATCTTCTACCTTTTTCTGTCCCTTTTCCTTTTCGTTATTGAATTGTAATTACTAATTTTTTGTATTTTTTGTATGCTTTTTCTTCAAATTTGTATGTAATAAATTGTTTTTATTTTAGTATTTTAAAGGTTTTTATTTCAGTTTTCCTTTATATAAAACTAGCTGTCGTACCCGTCTTCGACGGGTTTTTATTCTCTAGAAATTCATAGATTAAAAGTTTTGTCTGTACATTGCTCAAAACATTACAATTTTTTGAAATCAATTTACAGTTTATGACATAAAAGATTAAAATAAAAATAAAATCGTGATTGGTATTTAGCCAATTTCATTGAAACTTAAGTCACACTTAAGTTTTTTGAACCTTAAAATTTCAATGACATCGTTTCCAAGATACACCACGTGGAGGTAACCAATCGTGTATCTCAAAAAAAACCTAAATTAAATTATTTTAAACAATGGTATAATTAATTCTTTCTAGTAATTAATAAGTAACAACATATCCCTTTACTCCGATTGTGATCCATTAATTAGATTGATTTTCTTCTTTCTCTTGTGTTTCTATTTTTTAAAACAAAACTGTTATTACCTTCTGCCCTTATTTTAAAATTTTAATATGATTTTTGATCTTTTACGACTCTAAATTTTAAGGTGTTTTCATTTTCCCATTCAATTACATGTTTTCCTCGTTTAATTTCATCATAATCCAATTTCATTTCATACGCTTCCCACATTTCTTCATCTGTAATTTCGTCTACAACAAAATACTTACTTGTAACAATTGTTTATTATTCATTTATAGAAGAAAATTACCATCAATCACGACTGAGCCCATTTTCTCCGTCTGATTATTTTGAATAACGTCCCACGGTGAGCTTGGATGAAATTCAACCCAAAAGTCATGACCCTTTCTGGTTTATTTTTGATATCATTTAAGTGATGTCTAATAATCATTTTAAGATAAAAATTAAAATAATCGTTGGAGGGAAACTCAAATTATATTGATTTTTTAATTTTTTTCTAGGTTATTGTACATATTTTCTGAAGGATAATGTTTTAAACAATATTTATTGCTTCAAAAGATATCTTTTAACATTAAAAAACATTCTATTTAGTAAAAACAATATTTTAATATTTATAAAGCTAAAAAATTGTCGAAAAAGTCGAAAAAGAGTGAATTTTTTCGTTTTTCTGAAAATTACTCTTTTATAAGTCATTAAACACTACTATTATGCAAATGTAAATTAAAGTACATAAAATTTCCTGGAAAACTAAACAAGAAAAACTATTCTATCTATTGTCGTTACAGAAATATGATGATTTAAAATTCGTTTTTAATGAAAAAGTAATTGAAATTTGTCATTAAGTCCAGTTTCTTTGGTGAAATCTTTTTTTCTGGACCTTACTTGAAAACCATATAATAATAATTATGTTTAAAAAAGTTTAATTTTAAACAATTTTAAATAAATAAACTTTTTATTGAACTAACAGAAATCATGTTCATTTATTTTAGAAAATTCAACGAAATTCCATTAACGATTTTTAATTTAATAGTATATATATTTAATATATTTAATAGTATATTTATTTAATAGTAGTGTTTAATGACTTATAAAAGAGTAATTTTCAGAAAAACGAAAAAATTAACACTTTTTCGACTTTTTCGACAATTTTTTAGCTTTATAAATATTAAAATATTGTTTTTACTAAATAGAATGTTTTTTAATGTTAAAAGATATCTTTTGAAGCAATAAATATTGTTTAAAACATTATCCTTCAGAAAATATGTACAATAACCTAGAAAAAAAATTAAAAAATCAATATAATTTGAGTTTCCCTCCAACGATTATTTTAATTTTTATCTTAAAATGATTATTAGACATCACTTAAATAATATCAAAAATAAACCAGAAAGGGTCATGACTTTTGGGTTGAATTTCATCCAAGCTCACCGGTCCTTCTTGAAATATCAAATGATTAAAGTAAATCTCAAAATTTAAAACTAACAATTTAGAAAATGTGCAAGTATGAAACTCTTGAACATGCTACATAAAATTGCCCGTGTGAGAAACATTCAACCGTACTAACATCAATTCCTGCTGTTGATAACGTCTGTCCTTGAGATTTATTAACTGTCATAGCGAAACAAATGCTAATTGGAAACTGTAAACGTTTGAACTCGAATGGATAATTACTGGGTATAAGAGGAATACGCGGTATAAAAACACTTTCTCCAGCTGCACAACCTGTTAGAATGTCAGTCTCTATTACAAATCTGTGCAAAGCCTTTACTCTAAGACGTGTGCCATTACACAACTTGGGAGGATTAATATTTCTCAGAAGCATTATCGGTGCTCCGATTTTGATAATTAACTCGTGAGCTGGCAGCCCTGGAGCAATTACTGATTCCAACAATTCTACAGGGCAATGAATGAAGTTGTCACCATTCATAGGTGTGTTTATTGAAAGATATTTTCTTTCTTCCGCCTCAAAAGAAGACAATATTTTTTTATTAATAAGAGCTGCTTGTTCATTCGTAGGTGGAAATACGTTGTTAATTAATTCTTCCTGAGATGTAACTGTAGTACAAAGAGATGAGGGCACATCGATAAATCCATTGTTATCTTCTACATCCCCTTGGCCAATTTTCAACAAAAGATCAGAAAATTGTTGAGCCTCTTGCTCTCCTTGAAGTTGTACTCTCATATTAGTTGAGAGAGAAACGCGACTTATTTTTGTCCAAATAAAAGATTTTTTAATACATGCATTAATTTCATCTGCTCTTGTTCCTCTAGTGATTACTGGAAGGGTTTGACGAAAATCGCCAGAAAACAATATCGTTAAACCTCCCATGTCAGAAGTGTTGCAACGAATATCCTTAAGAGTACGGTCTAATGCTTCAATGCTCTTTTTGTGAGCCATTGTGCATTCATCCCATACAATAAGAGCACATTCCTTAAGCACTTCGGCCACCGGAGAGTTCCTAGACACAGAGCATACTGGAGTTTCCATTTGTTCAATGTTAATGGGTATTTTGAACATGGAATGCGCAGTTCGTCCACCAGGAAGAAGTGTGGCTGCGATTCCTGAAGACGCAACAGCAATAGCAATTTTACCTTGACTTCGAACTTTAGCAAGAATCAGTTTTATTAAAAATGTTTTTTCAGTTCCACCAGGAGCATCAAGGAAAAACATTTGCGATGAATCAGAATTAATGCTAAAGAGTACACTCTCATACACAGCGATTTGTTCATTTGAAAGTTTAGGCTCGTTTTCACTTACAAATGACAAAAGCTCACTTACATTATAACTCGTACTCGTCTCTCTAATAAAATCTGCATTCCCCTGCTGACACGTTACAGATGGTGAAGGAAGATGACAGTCATTTAGAGTCTTATGTCCAATTCGCATAGTTACCTCTTCTATATTTGCCAAGCACAAACCATATAGGTGAGGAGCATTCTCAAAAGTGGTACTTAAAATTGATCTTTGCGCATCTCTGAAATAGTCTTCTGCAAGTGAATCACGAAACTTGAGCCATAAATCTGTAGGATCACTTAAGTCACAGAATACTACCATGATAGCAAACAATTCTCTCAATTTTTTTGAACTGTTACATAAAGCAGCTTCTCTTAATGCGTCCTCCCAATGAACATCATCTTCCAAAAGACCTAAAACCTTGCAAGCAGCTTTGAATGTTGGATGAATTTTTCCCAAGACTGTTTTAATATCTTCAAAAGAAGTTGGACCTCGAACATTATAAAGAAGCAAGCGAAGATGAAAACACTCACTATTTTGAGGATGGATAGTATAGACCCTACCAATTGCAGGGTCTCTGAAGACTCCAATGTGACCTGTCACACATTTACCTCTTTTTCTTCTAACAAATCGACCATCGGATTTATTGAAAGTGTAATACGAAGGTACTTCACAGTACAATAGAGTTTTAGCGAAATTATCTACCTGACAAAGTTTGAAAAACGCCATTAATGTAGTGTTTTTAGGATTTTCCACTCTTTCCAAAACATTCTCAGGTCTAAAGTACACTCTCTGTCCATTCTCCAAATGTACACATCAAGAGGTATCACAGGAGGATATCTCTCATGTATTGAGAATTCTAATATTCGCCAAACTGCCTCTAAGGTAGAGATATATCGACCTGTTTGATACCTTTTAATTTCATCATTTTCATCAGTTATACCAATTGTTGCTTGGTCACTTCCTTTATTCACATATTTACACACATATTCAATTGATTTTACTCCACCACAAAACTCTACATTAATGTGCGTTTCAAATGTACGTAATAGAACAGAAGAGTAAGGCACTATCCATCTATTATCTAACACAATGAATTCTCCTCTCACTTTAAATGGTACCGAAATCCCACCAACATCTGGAGACCGCCTTCTGTAAGTAGGGTAACCATTTTCACTTGAAATTGTTTCGTTAACAAATGCCTTTGGATATCGTATTGTACAACGACCTTCTTTCATGCATCCTGACCGATGATTAAAAGGCCCACATGGACCATGCACCATATGACCTTTTACTATATCGAAAAGTTTTTTATCCTCTTCCGGACTAGGCAACTCAGCACTGATGACCTCATCAATTTGGTTCGGGCGAATTTGCTCTTCCAACCAAAGAAGAATATGAGCATGCGGAAGACCACGTTTTTGCCACTCCACTGTATAAATGAAACAACGTACACGACCAAATATTTCCCCTTTTTGTAAGAGTGCCATTAACACTTTCAACTTTAAATGAAATACTCTTGAAACAATGTCATGCCGGTCTTGAGCAGATTGACCTTCGAAAAGATTATTATTAATTTCAGTCCATCTAGGGTTTGTGGTGATCGTTATGAATAATTCAGGACGTCCAAATTTTCTGACATAACAAAATGCATCCTGAGTTCGTGAATGCATATAGCGAGGGCCACCAGTAATACTTAAAGGTAAAATCACAACCTGACCTAACGATTCCACTCCTTCCTCTCTTCGAATAGCATCCTGTAGATGAATGTACTTCTCTGCTCTGAGTTGAGCTTGATGTGTTCGAATATACAATAACCTTTCACTCTCAATTTTAGCAAACATATCAACCAAGAACTGGTTAAATAATTGCCTAAACTAATGTAGATGATTAGTATCGTTTGTCCGAACCATTAAACGATAAGAGTAAAACTCTAGAGCAGAGGTCTTTTTATCAACAAACTCACCTGTTGTGGGATTTACATGGCGGTATAAAAAATGATAACCGTCTTCTCCATGGCAAAACATAAGCGGATATTGAAGAGCATCATAAGATCTATGGGTCTCACATATTCTACACGGATTACCGGTCTTTTTTTGAAGAATAATGTCCCTTTTGTCACTCGGTTCACCAACCATAATGATAGCTACTGAAGAACTAAAGTATAATCCAGATTATCAAATATCGAAGTTCTTCTTTCAACTTGTCTGTTAGAATCGGAAATAAAATATATTTGTAAATATGAAGAAGGTTCAGGATTTTTTTCTAACCTCAAAAAACATGTCAGATTTTATGTAATTTATGTAAAATACAAAATTTTTAAAAAATTGATTAGATTTGTCTCAAACTTGTTTCTCGGGGGTTTTTAAGATCGTTGATTACGAACCTGCAGTTAGTTTCTAAAAATTCAAATTGGCGGATCTAATATGGCGGACAAATTAAAAAAATTTGATGGATTTTCACTTTACTTGGTATATAGGGGTTTTCGGGGTCGCTGATTACAGATTTACAGTCAGATTTTAAAAATTCAATATGGCGGATCCAATATTGCGGTCATTTTTTCAAAAATTGATTTATTTTGTTTTAAAATGGGTACTTAGTGGTTTTTTGGATCGCTGATCACAAATTTCAAATCAGACTTTAAAAATTTCTAACAACTGGTCCAATATGACTTGATATGCAAGCATTTTGTGAGTCGGTAAATTTAAAAGTTTCGAAAAGTTTGTTGGTAAACATTTATGCATCAGGAAATGGAAATTTTTGGTAACCTGAATGCCTAAATTAAAATGTATTTATTGAGACGACATCTAGGAACATTTCTAGAGAATTAGGCATAATTTCTGGATGAATTTCAATTCAACAATTGCAGAATACTTTTCTCTTGGACGCAGGCCTGCTAGGACATAATACAGTATTGTATTTCCGTTGTGCTTTGGCACAATATTAATCCTGCTGCTTCGACAGATGTAGTAGGCGATGACAACTGCCCCGAAAGGGGATGTGTAGAATGATTTGCTTCCTGTCTATCGAAGTAACGAAGCCAGCGAAGGCGCGCTGCCTTGCAGGGGGACGTTAGGGTGTAAGGATGATACCGTAGTGTGTCTGACGACGAGTTGACAATGTCCTCGTCAAAGTCGGAAAGCTTTCATACTTAGGCCTAGGGAGGTATGAGAGTTATCACCCCTAGGACGGTGGACTCGCCTGCGATCGGACCAGGATCCCTAGCGTGCGGGTATTTTCCTAAATATCATGGCTTTCAAAAATCAAAACAATAAAAAAACTTCAAACGCTTGAAAAGTTCTTTTTGGAGTGTCAACCCTACAACATACATGTGACAGCAATGCAGATGTATTTTGTTACGTATGCGGACAATTTGATATCCCGAAAAATCGCAAATTAATTATTGAAAACATTAAACAAATTTATAAAGATTGTTTTGATTTTGAGATAGTCAATCAGAATGAAAAATGAGTTCCACATACAATCTGCAGTTCCTGCTACACAATGTTAACTCGTTGGAATGATACGAAAGAGGATAAACACCTGAAGTTTAAAAAACCAACATTGTGGAAAAAACGGTTCACGCCTAGGACCATTACCATTAAATTAACCATTACCATAACCATTAAATCGAGAAGATTGCTACTTTTGCATGACTAATGTAAAGGGCTATAATAAAAATAATAAAAAGAAAATAATTTACGCATGTGTAGTATCTGTGACAAAACCCGAAATTTTAAGTCATTTAACTCTTTCTTCTGCAAATATGAAAATCGACAGTTCACCATTAGAGTATGTACTTTCCCATATAAGTGATGAGATTAGTAATATGTAGAAGACAATGATGATATTTATGTTTTAGATGGTTATCAGGAAGAAAAGGTTAAAGAAGCCTTTACGCAAGAAGAGCTTAGCAACCTCATCAGAGATTTGAAATTACCCAAAGATGGAGCAGAATATCTAGCTTCAGTTTTAAAAAAGAAAAATTTGTTATCTAAAGGCACCACAGCTTACTTTTATCGTGACAGAGAAAAGGAATTTCGGAAATATTTTACAAAAGACGATAACCTTTTATTAGTATATTGTTCTGACATTGAAGGACTAATAAATGAATTGAAACCAAACGTATATGAAGATCAACATTGGAGGTTATTCATTGACTCTTCTAAAAGAAGTCTAAAGGCAGTGCTAATTCATAAAACTAATGTTTTTGCTTCAATTCCCGTAGCCCATTCCACTGAACTTAAAGAAGATTATGAAACTGTCAAATTAGTTCCAAGTACCTAGAACAAAAATTTCCAGAGTTATCTGATGCTAAATTAAAGGAAGGAATTTTTGTTGGGCCGCAAATTCGCAAACTAGTAAAAGATGAAAAATTTATCACAGTAATGAGTAAAAAGGAGAAAGCTGCATGCATGGCTTAGTTTTAAGGGAGTTATTGAAAACTTTCTTGGCAACCATAAGAGCGAGAATTGGGAACTAATAGTGAATGGTATGATCAAAAACTTTCAAAAATTGGGATGCTTGATGAGTTTGAAGCTCCATTTCCTACATTCACATCTAAGTTACTTTCCGAAAAGTTTAGGAGACTACAGCGAGGAACAGGGAGAACGGTTTTATCAAGATATTAATGAAATGGAGAGCAGATATCAAGGCAGATGGGACGTAAATATGATGGCTGACTATTGTTGGATGCTAAAAAGGGATATTGTTCCAGGAAGATTAAACTTAAAAAGAAAACCACTGCACAGGTCTTTCGAAGACAAACGATTTCGTTACCATAAACAGACATAAATAAAAATTGCATTATTTTCAAACGTACATCTTGATTTTTCAAAATCTAATTGAAGATTTGTTATCAGTGATCCGGAAAACCACTGAGTACCCATTTTAAAGCAAAATAAATCAATTTTTAAAAAAATGACCGTCATATTGTATCCGCCATACTGTTTTTTTAAAATCTGACTGCAAATCTGTAATCAGCGACCCCGAAAACCCCTATATAACAAGTAAAGTGAAAATCCAACAAATTTTTAAAATTTGGCCGCCATATTGGATCCGCTATTTAGAATTTTTAAAAACTGACTGCAGATTCGTAATCAGCAATCTTAAAAACCCCCGAAAAACAAGTTTGAGACAAATCAAATCAATTTTTAAAAAATTTTGTAATTTACATAAATTACATAAAATCTAAATAGTTTTTTGAGGTTAGAAAAAAATCCTGACGTGATGGAGCAAATCATGAAATGGAAATGGACTTTCGCGCAGTGTACTTTTCTTTTTTTGTGGGGCTGTGTAATCCTCCTTAATAATTGAGGGCTTTTTTAAAGTAATTAATCAAATCGTCTTCAATTTGTCAATTAATTGAGTATTTCTTTTTATATTTATTTGATCAATATCAATTTGACAGCTCAAGTCAGCGTTTTGAAATCAAAACAAATACAGCTGTTTGTCAAATTGGTTACTATGGTAACATGAAAATATTTTGTTTTTTATTAAACTTCTGTATTTTTAAATGAGTTAAGTGTTAATTGTCATTAATTTATCTCAATGAAATTTCTATTTAATAAATAAATTAATTGTTTAGCTGCAATCTATTAAAACAAAAAAAAATTGATTTTTTTGTTCGAAAAATATCAAAAAATAATTTTTATAGTATATAGCAGAAATTATTGTAAATTAAGTTAAAATGTGACTTTGTTACTATAATTTCACCGTTACAAAAAGTAGAGTAGAACGGGGTGAAAAAGCCACATTTTTACATTTTTTTTATTGTTTATACTCCTGCCCTATTGGCCTTACGCACTTTGACAAGAGTCCCCGAGAAATACTTTTTTGGATTAAGCATAACCATTCTACTTTAGAAATTTTTTCTATATATTAACCTAATTTTGCGTCTACAGCCGACTTTATTAGGAGTACTCGCATTACGCCTGGACCACCCGTCAATGGGTTTTCTCGCCAGAGAAGAGGGAAACTGTAGAAAACCTCTCTGAGTACAACCGGTTTATCGACAGTCGAGTTCTAATGGTGTGTACCGGACAATAATCGACGGTGCACATCATTATACCTCGACGTCAAACCTCCCGCTCAGATTGTCTCACGTGCCGGAAAAATACCAAGCCAAGTGGGCGCGAACCAAGGGTACTTATACCCTTGGTCCTTAAACGACCACCAACGCCAGGCATCTATCCGACTGAGCCAATCTGTCGGTTCACATTTTTACATTTTAATTTATAAAATCTGAATTTAAAATTTTTTTCTCAAATTTCCAATTAGCATTGAAAGTTTAGTTATTAAGCTTGAATATTCTTGACGGAAATATTTTTTATTCCATGAAAGAACTAAGTTATAAGAGTTTTACGAAACCTCTGCAAATGGCTTTTTTGTACCACCTGGTGGGGAGAGAAAGCCACCTCGCGATTTTAGCAAAATATGTTATTAATTTTGATATTTTTATAGATTTCCTTTATTTACATGACAAATAATCTTATTTTTAAAATATTTTAATAAATTTTAAAGAGCTTTTATCAAGGAAAATTGAATATTATGTTAAGTTTACCTGTTTTTAATTTACACTGCCAAGTTTTTGTACCTTTTTTTAAAGTCTTCCTTAAATTTCACTACAGATGCCATATTTTGTTGCAACCGTTTTTTCGTTGTTTATTTTTAACGCACTTTATACCATCTTTTCGTCGTGTTTAATTAATTTTATTAAGTAAACACGCGAAAATTTTGTAAAATTAGAAGGTTAGTTTAAGTAGAAAACAAATGAATTTCACATAATATTCAATGGCTTTTGTCCCTGTCTTTTTCACCCCCAAAACCAGTTTTTCTAAAAGCT